CAAGAAAAATTAACCCAAAGCCCAGAACTCTAAGCCCAAGTCCAGTTTAAGTAACTAGGTCTTGCGTGACCCGGCTTAGCCTTCATGTCATCCTCTTAACTTGTATCTCTGCACACACCCGATTGGATTTCTTCCAGAAAATTTACAAAGATTACCTTAAATCACCTAGAATTTCTAGTCGATCCACACTCAAAGATCACTGATGACACTGTTGACTTTTGCAATATGACTTTTAAGCAACTTATTTGGCCAGATTTGAGCTTAAAAGCTTCGATTATGGCGGATGACTTTCTAAACAAGAGAAGAAGGAATTAACACAATAGATGAGAAATTTTCTGAAATTTCCTTAGCGTTTTGTTCTCAAGACTCAGACGAGCCTTGTTTTAAAGAAATTCCCTTCGGTTTTCTGCGAATTAAATCGAATTCATCACATTGAATTCGGATGATCCAAACGTTACAGGCATTTGGATCTACTTTCATAAAATTACAATTTAGTCCTTGGTTTCTATCTTCTTTGCTATCTGAGACTTGAACACACCAATATGTTAGGTTCGGACCCCTAACAGTTTTAATTCATTCAGTTAAACCCTTTAGTTTTCCAATTGAGCCCAAATTTCTCATCTTTTTTAATTAACGCACTTAACATTTTAATTTATTTCATTACCCCAAAAATCGAGGTTTTACAGTAACAATGTAATTTAACCTTTCTTTGTTAAGAGACTTGTAATTTTCTATAGAATAAAAGCATATGGTGTTTTTAATTTGTCGAAGCCCTGACAGAAATATTCAGATTGCAATGTGACGTGCACTTGAGACAGATATAAATATAATTTATGATATCTTGCTATTGGCATTAATGCCAAGACCATATAGTAAAGATATGTTGAAGAATAAAGTGTACAAAAACATAGATATACGGTACAAAAAGTAGAAACCAAACACCACTATTGCGTTATTAATCATAATAAATTAGTATTCCTCTGGTCGGAGCGTAGGACATCACAAATTAATTAATTCAAATAAATCCAACATATACCCGAATGGATCACATTCCAAATTATTGGGGGATATATTTTGTTCCAAATTATAACGCTCCAATTCCTTACTTTACCAAGTTTGAACTCACAAGCTTCAATTTACGCCATTCATATGGATTTTTTTAGTATACAAAGAAACTGAAATGCTCTCTGACTCTGACCACCCAATTTTTGAAAAAATAGAATTATCTGAGAAAAAAGAAAACCCTTAAAGAGAGCATCTCAACATGTTAAGCTAACTATTTTGACTTGTAACACCTCTCTCTCTCTCTCTCTCTCTCTTAAAATGATTTTTCAAGTTGGCTATGTTGAATGTCGGCCAACTACTCTTCTTTTACAGGTTATTCCTTCTTTCTGTGAGACGCAAGAGGCAAAGGAATGAACAGCTAATCGAGGTCCTCAAACTTATCACTTCCCAGTGCATGATATTTTGTTGTGCCTCAAAGTTGACCCCAGCCTTGACAATGATTTATTTAACATTAAATTTTAATTCATTTAGTTTGAGATCATAATATTTATTAAATTAATATTAAAATTAACATCTAATATTAATTTAATACTAATTTAATAATTATTAAAATTATTGAATTAGTAGGCCAAGACTTGCAATCAAATATAGGTATAATTAGAAGACTATCAAATAAATTGAAATAGAAACAATATGAAAGATTCATTTCTTTTGGAACAGTTTAAATTTATAATTTCTTTAATATTGTTATTTAGAGTATTATAAGAAGGTGGCTCCTATATATATATATATAATATTTATATGTGTATATATATATATATATATTTTGGTATACACGTGGAACTTATTTTTGTGTAAAAAATGAAAATAGTGCTCTTGTCAGTGAGATTAAAGAGATTCAAATTAAGTTAATTGCCAATAATTGATAATTAAAAAATTGAATTGTTAATTAGAAAATAAATAATTTAAGTATATCAAAATTAATAAAATTTTACAATGAGACAAGCATGATCGATTGAATTTGGATCAGGGTGTGTCCACGCAAATTTCAGCTTGATAAAGTAACGGTTGGTTAACGGCATACACGGACGGAGGAACTACGACTGAACAAATATATTAACTTCGTGGACTTGATTGTTCCTTTTTTTTCTTTTTGCCCCTTTTTTTACAAAGAAATAACAGCAATCGTGAGCAATTTCTTTACATTATACTGTTTTTCTAATAAAGGAAAAACACAGCACATTTAGGAATGTTTATGACTTAACCTTTTTAGTAAATAATTAAACATACTCCCAAAGACTTTTCCAGATTCAAGAAATTTGGTAAGTAAAAAAATCATTGCAGGATCTAGCTTCATAAAGCGGGAAAATCATAAAAAAAAATAAGGAAAGAGAGAGATTTTTTACTTCTACATAACCAATGAAGGTCAGAGATCTAAACAATTAGACAAGGGGGATAAGAAAAAGATAAAAGAAACGAGTCCCCGTCAAAGGGTGGTCTTTAGATATTGCAAGTCCACCCCAAGTTTCAATTTAATAACCATTGGACCCCACTCATTGCTGATTTCCTAGGCATTAATTATTAATTCATCCCTGTCAAAAACAATATTAATTCATGTGATCCGAGGCTTGATTTGAATAGATTTAGTATTAGGAGTATGCGTTGAAGGGCATTTTTAATGATTTTACATGGGAGTATCCTTGCGTTTTTGTCATTCTAGTATCTTCTTCCAAGTCTTTCTCTTAAAATTTTTAAATTATTTAGTAAAAATAATTCAAATCAACTCAAATAAAAAAATTAAAAACCAAATAATAAATATACAGAATATTTAAATTTTTTTAATGGGTTAATGTTAATTATGTAATTTATTTATGTTAAAAAAATGACTAATATATATAATTTTAATCTGTTAAACGTAATAATCAGCTTGTTTAAGCCGCGATACTGCGTCGAATTGGTATTGGACATTATAATATTGGTCAAATTCAGAAATTTAATAAATAAAAAAATTAAGAAAACAATGTTCAAATAATTAGCAAGTGGTGGACGATAATTTCAAAAGTTTGACTTCGTGATCTGACCAACTCATTAGCAACTTAACAGTTCAAGTTTGACAATACTTACAAGTTGGATTCCGTTTTGTTCTCTATTCGGGATTCCTAACAATTAACCAAACGGTATCCAACGCCGACTCAAAGGTCTCTATCATATTATATATATATATATATATATATATTGATTTCATTATTTATGCTTAATAAAAATTTTAAATAATTTTTTATTCTTAAATTACTGAATTAATTCCCCCCAATAGTTTTTTTGGGAAAAAGAAAATAATTTATATCTTGGTTAATCATTTAATATTACAAATGGGTTAATTAGGAAAATATCTGTAGATATTGCTTCTAAAATTTTATTAATCCTTTTCGGTTGTCTTGCAAAACTACTTCCACACAATCATTATCTGAATAGGAATCTTTTTCCCCCATAGGACCCAAGTAGGAATCCGAAAAAGATAAGTTAGCATTTTTGTCTAATCCTTTTCTTATTTTAAATCAAATCCTTGTCCTGTTGGGAAATAAATTAATCTATTTGTGTTATTCTTATTACATTGTATTTAAGTGGAAATCTTTGAAAAGATGCTGGCGAATAAAAATAATATCAAGCATTAATTAACTAAGTAATATCAAATGAAAGATAGGATTCATCTTTAGGGGGCAGAGTGAAAATTATCCTTTAGGAGATCATAAATTGAATCTTGTTTACATAAAAGGGATATTTAGAATTTGTTAAGAATTATTCGGCATTTTGGCATAATCTCTAAAGAATTTCTCTGGTCAGCATTGAATTTTTATTTAACATAGTTATCATGTTAAAGGTGAGAATAAAAGTTCAATGTTATCATTCTCTCTTTTTTTTTTTTTAAGCTAGATAAGAAAATCAATTCTAAAAAATTAACTCAAAAAGTAGAAGTGTAGTTTAATATTATCGTTTTTACTCTAGCAAATTGATACATGAAAAAAATTTTGAAACAAATACTTGCAAATAAAAAATATTATTAAGCAGTATATAAGCAGATAACATCAAATAAATAATTGAGTTGATCTTTAGGAGCCATGATGTTATAAATTGCAGCTGAATCACATAGAAGAGGCATTGGGAACTTTTCAAATGTTAGTCAGTTTCGATTTATGTCGTATGATTTTGTAGAGTCTAATTTTTCAATAAATTTCATTGTTTTTACCGTAACAAATTGGTCCAATTGATGTCAAATATGAGAATAGAAGTCTGCGGTCTTGTTTATCTCAGAAAATATATTAATATTTATTGATTAAATATTAATTTTAAAAGAAGACAAGCGTGTGCTTTTCTTTATTTCAGGTTTGGAATTTTTAAATTATTGTTGTTTTATTTGTAATTCCAAGAAATTTTTAAATTTTTTCAAATGTGAAATTTAAGAGATCGATTTCATGAAATTCAATTTTTTTTTTTTAGAATCCAGAATTAAATATAAAATCTTACTCTATATTTGGAATTCCTAGATACAAAATTTGGAAGAGTATTTTTTTAAAAAAAGTAATTTCTAAATCTTTCTTCTTTAAACAGATTTTTTTAATCCTTTACGTCTTCTAATTTACTTTTAATACTATTACCCTTTATATAATGCAAATTTACTTTCTCTAAATCTCATATTTGAAATTTACTTTAATTTTCTCTTTCTACACTTTCTTTCTATAATAGATTCACTAGGACAACTTGGATTTTATGGGAAAATGCTTTTAAGTAATTAGCCTAATTGAGTGTGTAATTGTTAATTAGCATACGAGAGCCAAACGAAGAATTACTCAATTAAAATTACAATTAAGATTTCTATTTATGCTTAAATTACATTGAGAAACAAAAGATAACACACGTATGCAGAATCCCCAAATCACTGAGGTCCAAAATTTCAATCCCAAATAGTCTTCCGCCAGGTGTACCTCGGCGTTGACATTTCACGCTTCAGAATTCAATTCCCATCCATTACCGGTAACTGCATAATCCCTGTCTTCTTCCACAGGTTTCAACCCGTCGCCGTAGCTGAACTCGAGCCACTTTTTCGACTTGCAGAGGTTCATCAAGAAGAACCACCCAACACCCGCCAGAGTCATCAACCCGCTCACCAGGAACACAATCTTCTTTGCAATGACCATCACAAACACCAAAAACGCAGACGGAATCAGGCACATCACCAACACGCCGGCCATTCCCATCGGCACCCGGTACGGCCTGTTCATCGCCGGGAACTTCCTCCTCAGCCACACAAATGACGCAAATTCCAACAACATCCCCAGACTGTACACGAAATTCGCCGACGAAACAATGTCAGTAAAGTTCATGTACGAAACCCCCAGCGAAATCAGTGTTGCTATCAGTATCCCTAGCCATGGTGTGTTGAACCACTTCGACTTAACCCCGAAAATTTTGGGTAGAAACCCTAATTCCGCCATGCCTAGCACCTGGTATGCGCTGCTGCTTAACTGAGCTTCGTAGAGGCCAATCGCCGATAGAACCGCGCCCACTTCGAGCCAGATCTTCAGCCACTTTCCGGCGATGATTTCGGCGGCGTTTGCCATAAAACCGGTCTCCCATTGGCTCTGGTCGACGGTGACAGATCCCGTCACAGCCAATAAAGGCACTATATAAGCAGAGCACGTAAAAATCACCGCAGAAAACAGAGCAGCTGGAAAAGTTCTCTGCGGCTTATCGACTTCGCCAGCAAGGGTACTCACACTGTCCCAGAAATTTAAATTCCAAAATAGGGTGTTGGAGTATAAGTTCCAATCTTTTTTCACACCCTTCTGCCCTAAACTCACCCATCGATGGGGACGAATTTGGGGAATCGCTATCAAAGACATGAGAATAAATGGAAGCAGAGATATTATTCCGAGGCAGACAGAGGCGTAACCGACGATATTGAGACCGGTATAATTGAGGAAGGAGAGGGACAAAGTGGAGACAAGGACCGCAAGGAAGCGAGGGAGGCCATGGGAGAAGATCGGGAACAGCTGCTCCAGGTAGTCGATGCATAGGGCGGGAAAGGCTGCGATATTGATGACGCCGGCGAGGAACTTCCAGGTAGCCATTAACGAGCCCCAGAATGGGCCGAAGGCGGCCGCGGCCCAGATCACGAAGCCGCCGTTGCCGGGGAAGGCGGTGGAGAGCTCTGCGGTGATGAGAGCCTCCGGGATGCTCCAAATGAATGGGAATATGAGGAATCCAAGGATGGCCAGTAGGGGTCCAGCCGCCTGAACGGCCGGTTCCTCGCCGTACGGCCCACCAGCGACCTCGAAATAGATGAGGAAGATGAGGGGGAGGAGCGTCAGTTTCTTGGCGCCGCAGAGGTGGCCAGGGGCGGGGACGGGAGCGGCAGCGGAGGTGGCGATCGAGAGTTCCTCCCGGGTGATGGTTGTTGGCGGTGCTGAAGTTGTCGCCGCCACGGGCGGTGATTGTTGCCCTCTTGTTCCTGCCCCGTTAGACATTTTTGAGTTGGGTGTCTGGATCTCTATCGGCATACCGGTCATTAGGCGCTGTAGGAAGAAAGAGAGACGGGTGAAGGCGAGAGCGTGAGTCTAATTTACTATCATGAGGCAGAAATTAGGGGACGGAGGCCAGAGCAACCCAGCAGCTCCATGGCCTCCTCGGATGTAAACAACAGACGGACGGACAGACAGACAGATACAGATACAGAGAGAGAGAGAGAGAGAGAGAGAGAGGGGTGGAAAAATTAGGAGAGGATTGCTGAGGAAATGGAGGTAGAGCCTTACATTACAAGTTCCCGGCCCTGTGAGTCTGTGAAGGCGACGGAATGGTCAAAGCAGAATTCGACTCTGCACGCAATATATGGAGGAGAGGATCTCTTCACACGTGCTTCAAATGACTGCCTGAAACGATTAAAAAAATTTTGCATGGGACCCAACTTTTTTTGGGAAGGAAGATTTTCTTTCATCTTTCCGAGTTGGTGTCATCAAGTTGTTAGTCTGCCAATGTTGTTTACTTTGCTAATTAATTAATTATTCATTATCTCACTCTCTCTCCTTACTAAATTCATAAAATATGTTGTTCATTTATACTACATAGATCTTTATTTATATTTATACTATATATAAAACTTTTAGTAATAAATTTGTTCTCATCTTATTTTGATGGTTTCCTATCTTAAATATATTACTGCAAATTTAATTGTTATATTTATTAATTAAAATCATTTTATTTATTACATTTCTTATCATTTATATTGTTTTCAAACTTCCACATTAAATATAAAAAATTTTAGACAAAAATACTTTGAAATAATAGATTTATTTTTTTACATATTTTTAAGTAGTAACTATAACATAAAGATTACTGTTATTAAAATTTTTAATAGAAAATTTTATTCTCTTATTAATTATGAATTCAAATTATTTTATTCAAATATTAATTTAAACAAATAAAATTACTAATTTAATCTTTAATATTGTTTTTTAAGTCAAAATAATATAAAAAATTAATAATACTTGACTAAAAGGTTGGGCTCAACGGACCAGTTTTCGACAGACCCAGTGGCCCAATATCAGGTACTTTTCTACAGGCCCAACTTTTTTATGGAAATGGGACGGATTTGGATCTGAAATTGTTTCCACTCCGACTACCTTAGGTGTGATGAGGTGACTATGTAATAAATAGTGCCATATAATGTCATACCTAGGTCCATAATTGTACAAATTATCTTCTTACACGTTTATAGATAATCTAAATTGTTAAAAATTTAATTCAATTTATATAGATTGTTTAATATATTTTATGTAAATAAATTATGTTAGAATGACTTATATTTAATTAATTTTATGTTCACTTGAATTAAGTTGTAAACGGGTTGAATTTGGATTAAATTAAATATATTTATATTTGAATCTGAATCCAATTAACTATTATTATATCTGAATTCAATCCAAAGTTTTATAAAATTGATATTTATTAAATTATATCTAAATTCGATGAACCATCCGAAATTTAATAAGAAAATCCGATCTAACAAAAAAATAACTATATTTTACATTAAAGTTCCTCAACTTTATTTTATTAATCATATTTGTCCTTATTTTTTTTAATTTTCTTAATTTAGTCTCTATTAAATTTATTAATATCATATATATAAGTTTATTAATTTAATTAAAAATATTATTAAAATTCGGATTCAAATCCTTAACAAATTAAATTAGATAATTTTATATTTGATTTACTTATTTCAGATATTTTATAATCAAATTTGATTCATTGAATATTTTAATCAAATTCAAATCTTAAATTTTAGATTAAATTCAGATTAGATTCAAATTAAAATTTAACTAATTAATAGTGCTAACTTGAATTAAATTAGGTTAGCTTGATATTTTTAGATAGCCTCAGATGTCCTGCTGGCAACCTAATCATAACATTCTATATATATGTGTGTGTGTATCTAAAGTTGGAGAAGAGCATTAGAGAAGAAGGGCGTCCATTCAAGGATGAGAGCGGTGTTGATGAAGATGAACGAAGGGGGCTTGCGCAGAGCTACGCACAAAGCGCTTGGCTGAAGGGTCAGAGGCAGTTGCTTGATCTTGACGAGCTTGCATTCCACCAACATGGTTTGTTTTTGGCGAATGTGAGCTCCCGTAATTGGGTTCTTGAAGGAAACATAAGAAGGTTACGAGGAAGTTCATGCGCCTTCTCTAAAGCCAAAACCACTGGCCGCCGGTGAAGAATTCTTAAAGATATCCGACATGCCAGACCGGCGCAACCTGCTTTCAGAGGGATGACCCAACTGAATAGGGTTCAGGGTGGAGTTTACAAAACAGCCCTCTATACAGCTGGTAATATCTTCTGTGTACGCCAACCGGGTCTAGAAAGACCAATGTTGGGATGCTTGCCTTGCTGCAGAAGAAGATAGAAATGAAGATGGCACATTCAACCATAGCAATTTACAAAATTGTCTTTGTGGCTCCTATGAAAGCACTTACTGAAAGCACAAAATGTGGGTTAGCCTCAAAGAGTGGTAATAGCTAGTGTGCCTCTGTTTCTGTTTGGACACAAATTAAGCTCTCCATGTCTATATTCCAAGTTGTTACGGACATTGGCTGGGGGTCATTATAATTTGGTGAGTTCCTCTAGTTCCGTGTAATCCAATCTCATTAACCTCATGGATCTTCACCAAATCCATTACTGGGGACCATGGGAATTTGGCAGCTTTTTCTACATATATTCGGTCACTTGAATGAAACAAAGAGAGGGCGAGAAAGTTTCCGAGAATGATCTTGGGACGAGGAGACGGACTCTCGCAAGCAACCCTCCTCTGTTGGATGATGCATATATATTACTTTTAGTCTAGTTTGGAAAATTTAATACCCCTAAAAATTGGGTTAGATGCGGTTTTATACACTATAATGTAGTTAAGGAAAAGTCATTTTCTGTAAGCAAGTTAATCTCTATTTTAACAAGGAGATTGTAATTCAAATTCGTCACTTTTTATTTATAAAGTTTTATAAATTAGATCAGATCAGGTTGACCAGTCACGAGTCAACCTGATTCGTAAGATTTAAATTTTAAATTAAGAGTTATAACTTCTGGTAACTGCACTAAACAATTAAGATACGTGATTTATATATAAAATTAGAAAAATAACATAAGACTTTCCAATTCTTTGAAATAATTCTCTCTCTACACTTTTTTCTCCCAACTAGGAAAACATAGGAGAGCATTTACCTTGCAGAGTCAAGAGTTGATTCGTGTAATCATCTTTGAATTGCAATAAGTGCGTGGAAAAAAAATAAAGAATGATTATTTATTTTTGCTGCAAATCGAAATAAGTCTCCTACATTCAAGTATATTGAAAATCTACGTTCAGAAACAACAGAAGGCAACAAGCAAGCATGCTAAAATATATTTTGGGCTAAAAATAAAAGAAAGAAAAGCCGCCCATATTAACAGACAAAGAGATCCAAGGTTTTACATTGTTGTGAAGTACATACAGGACTATGGGTAAATTGAACAAAGACATAAATTTGGAAGTTCTTCAACCATCAAGCAAAGTCAAAAGGGATTAAAAAGGAACAGATGGGGATAAAAACGGGAATCCATCTTTCATACACCAATTTATTGGTAAGGAAAAGCTCAACCACGGGCATCTACAATTTGCTCTATAATTTCTTTAGCAATTGCGCATTGCTGTTGAACAGCATTATTTTCAGCTGTTAAAGGTGAAACACTCTTAGTCGGTCCGTCTGTGAATGTCTTCTCACAAGTTTGAGCCTCAGTGATGGCCAAATCTGATAATATTCTACTTTATCATTGTCATACATAACATTCTTAAGGGCTATAGGGATGTTATTAACCACTAATTCATACTGAGAGCTGCAAATGGTGAAGTGCTCTTTCAAAAGGGGATCATGTGCCTGACTGAGTAAATGTTTGACTCGTTCAAGAGTAGCAGTTGCATTGGAGAGTGTAATTTTGTGGGGTCTAGCCCCATCTTTATTTGGTTTTTCTTCTTTGACTGCTAACAAGCAACCTCATTGTTTTGACAAAAGCAAAAGGGGAGCCACCCATACTGCAGCTCCTCCTTTATTTGAAAATGAAGGATGGATCCAACTATTTAAATGGAGGTTTGCAGCTCCTCTTTGACCCATGCACCGAAATGAGCCCTCTTCTTTGACATTGTACGATGCAAGAGCCCCCTTTTTTGGAAAATTAAGGCCATTCTCCCCTATAAATAAAGGAGGGAATGGCCTCCTCAAATCATCCCAAGGTTTCCCAAAACTATCGAGTAGATAGAGAGAGTGAAAGAGAGTTTTTATTTTTTCTCCTATTTTAAGAGAGATTGTTGTTGTTTATCTCCTTAAATAGAGAGAAGTTGTAACTCATATTTTTCTTCATAATGAAATTCTTCTATCCTTGCCCGTGGTTTTATCCTAAATTTATTTGGGGGTTTTCCACATAAATCCTTGTGTCCCTGTTTTGTTATTTCATCTCATTTATTAGCCACGGTTTTACTTTATTAAGCACGTCATTTTCCCAACAAGTGGTATCAGAGCCAAACTTGCATGTGGATATCTATTTATTGTATGCTCTGTGGTTGCCACTAAATAGTGAATCATCCACATCAGAAAATAAGATAGATTATTATTTACTCTTAGAAGGTACTTGGTACTATTCACGTATACAGTTATTATTCACATATACGGTTATTATTCACGTGTACAGTTACTATTCACATGAAATAGTGGGAGTCCTAACAAAAGTAATGGCGGCAAAGTTTGAGATAGAAAAATTCAACGGGAGCAATTTCTCATTGTGGAAATTAGAGATAAAAGCTATCTTGACAAAAGATAATTGCCAAGATGCTATAGACAAAAAGCCGGAGAATATCACAGATGAGAAGTGGGAGGAAATGGACAAGAATGCTGTTGCAAATCTTCATCTTGCATTAGCAGATGAAATATTAACAAGCATAGAAGATAAGAAAATAGCAAAGGAGATTTTTGATCATCTCACCAAGCTGTACGAG